TAAGCTTTTCTCTTTTGAGAAACTGTATTAAGAACGTTAGCACAAAAACAGAAAAAAATGCTGTCTTTTATAAAGTTTCTCTTCAGCGTGATTGCCAAAACAGATTCTTTTTTCTTAATAGCAAGAAACATGCTTGCTCTATCCCATTCCTAAAACCCAAATCTCACCTGTATTGCACAACAGATACGTATGTATGGGTGCATATTTAAAAAGAAACTATGCCTATTTGAATGCAAGCCCATGGATGCTCATTACTATAATGTAGATAACTTGGTGACATAGTGAAAGAGGGCAACACACAGAGGACAGCAACTAAAATTCTAGTGAGCTTTCTGTATGAGTTTTCTGCATTTGCAAACAGCTATTCTTAAATATTGCCTTATAGTTTCATAGTTAAAATACTTAGCAATGTAGTCATGACAATTTTTGCAACTAGGCTGCAATTGTTCCATCAATAAAGAAGGGAAGCAAGGCCTGTGGTAAAGCAACACCTGTTTCATCAGAAATAGATTATTTACTGTGCAAATCTGATCTCCCTGTGTTAATGTTATCTGAAATCAAGCAATAAGGCTACTTCCTTTGTACGGGGCCTTGGTACACATATGACTGACCTAGCACAGTAAATAAAGCACAGAGATCAAACATCAGCAAGCTAAGATGGGAAGGAAGTCTATTGTCACACGAGTGTTTGGGACTAAATCGAACCCAAGAATTCCCAAAGTCCCCTTCCTCAGAAACCCAAATCTCTTATCTCGTATACCCCAAGGTGAGCAGCGTGTCAGAGAAATAGACTTTTTCTAGGCTTCACAGTATCATGAAAAGAGTTATCTCACTCTTACTATCAATCACAAGCTTTGCAGATCATTTTTATTATTAATTCAATTACATTCATGTCTTAATTCACTCTTAAAACTTTGGATTCATAGCTCCCCTCTCTCAGTTCCTTAGTTATTTATTGCAGCCAAAGCCTTACACAGCTTTGGGGCAGGGGAGAAGACTTTTACAATCCAGCATCACTTCACACAGGCTGCAGACCTCACTTTGGGGGCCTAAAAAGCAAACTCCTAAATGCATATTTTGGCATAAGCATGAAATGCTTTCTATGTTGACAAATCTCTGAGCCTTAGGTACCTGTTATATCTGGGTGTTGAAAGCTTTGGCTGCATAAGACAGTTTCCAGCAGTGCTAACTGTTCCCCTTGAGGTCAGTGAGCAAATTCCCCTTTGCCTTAAGAGGAACACACAAATATTTCCACGCAACACACACGGCAGAAGCTGCTTAACCTACACTGCATGCAACCCCAACCAGAGCTGTGCACAGCAGAGTCTGGCCCTGCATGCTCACTGCATTGCAGGCAGAGCAGTTCAGACCTGGGGAATTTTATTGCACTTATTTCCAATTAACAAAATCTTTTGTTGAGCAATGCAGGTATGAAGAAAAAACAAAACGATAACTAAACAGTTGGCTGAGCTGCTGGCAGACGATGAGCAGCTCAGAGCAGTGGCAGAGCTGGTTGGAAAACCCTAGCTTGGTTTATTTTAACGGCCTCCTCTGACAGGTAGCATGCAGACAAACACACTGAATGCATTTCTGAACGCATCAGAAAGGCAGTGCTTACCTCCCATGCCCACGTTTCCCTAGCTCTGCGTAGGCGCACCATTCGCTCTACTGCAAATTCTCCAGAGACAGAAGAACTTCCTAGTAAAAAGAACAGGTTTTATTAGACCAGTTAGCTCTTAAATGTAAGAAATCCTATTTACCTATAGGAATAAGAGAGAATAGGAATGAGACCACAAGTTTAGGAATGAGGATGGATTAGAACCCCCCCTCCCCAAGCTCACCAGGTAGCCCTTGCAGGCACGTTCCTGCCCCAGGCCTGCCTTCGGCCAGCTCACCAACTTGCCGTGTCTCAGGAACCCCCGCGCAGGAAGTTTCCCCGGCGCCACCCCGGGAGGCTGCCCAGCTGCTCCCGAGCCAGCTCTCTCCACCGGAGCAGCCGGCTCCCCTCTCCCACTCTACCTGCAGCAGCTCCGCCAGCTCCCCGCTGTGAGCCAGCACAACACAGAATGCAGTGTTTTGCTTTGAGCATACACACAAACTGAGCACAAATGGAAGAAAACACACCCTACCTGCCTGTTCTCCATCCTTTTTTTTTTTGTCTTTTTGATTCATTCAGGAGTACGCTTGGGACTTGAACCAGTCCTAGAAGGAAGGAACTGAGAGGAGTTTTCAGTCACATGCTGCTCTCAAGAATGTGTGATACCACAGCTGAAAAATAATGCTATTTTCTCTGAATTATGGCCCTTTATTTCTGATGCTAACTATAGATCCTATCTTGGAGCGATAGGACCAGTATTTACAAAACATTAAACAAACAAAACAACCAAAAGCCCAAATCACCATCACTATGAAGTAGTTTAATCATCCTATAGCAGTCCCCGAATAGGAGCTACTGCTTGGACTATCCTCCTGTCACTTATGACACGGGCTGAAAGCAGCTTCTTGTTCACTCCAAGGCCATCTGCTCAGCAAAGCAACCTCCTGACTCCATTAATAGCTGCCTGTTGAAACTGTCCTTATGCAACCTCTGACCTGTAGTTGTAGCACACTTGGCAGATCCATACAGGCGACCTTAGGGACCAAGAGTACTAACCTGAGGCAGGAAATGTATTTAATGATTTTACTTGAAATACGGTGTTTACATCAGACAGACTCCATTGCACATCTTGTGCATTCTTGCACTGCATCACGCAGCTTGCTAATATGAATTACAGGGGAAAAAAATCCAGCATGTTTAAACAAAAGCTTTAAGCTCTTGTATTGTTTTATGTTTAAGCTCTTTGTATTTCTTGTAGAGTTCTGAAATAGATAACTCTATATTAAAAGCTTTTTATGTTATTCTGTGATTTAGAGAGAGCCTGAAAGGTGTTTATGTGACCTGTAATACAGGCTGAAGTGGCACTACAGCATTTATTTCCTTGTCCCACATTACTTTCCCCAGTGAACAGTCCTTTGTCTGGCAAGGAAGCCTAATTCATCATTTGCTTTCTTCAAGATTATTTATTAGGTGAAAACAGTTTCACAATTTGATAAAATTGTGCCTTTTAAAATTAAAACATAACCAGATACTCCCCTCAAAAGGTTAGGTACCTCTTCTGCAAGCACAATAAAAAATTAATACATGATTAATACACGATTAAGATGACTGAAAAAAAAGAATGCTGTATATCATTTCAGAGGGAAAGGATATAAGAACAGAAATATCCCTGCTCTAGAGAGATTATTCACACCTCTAAGGCAGTGCATGAGTCAACACTAAAAAAAGCCCAAACCCCTACTGGAATTTAAGAGTCCAGTTTAAAGACCAAGGTTCTAATGCTTACCTAAGTAGAATTTCTATTAAAACTAGACAAACAGAAGAGGAACTAAAAAATAATCTGTGAGAAAAAAAGTGCTATAACAATTCTCTTAACTTGTGCAAGAAACAAAACCCAACTCATCTGTGGACTTGAAGAGAGGACCTCTACTAGAAGAGGAAGGGAGGGAAGGAAAAGGAAAAAGAAAGAGGCAATAAATGCTCAGTTGGTTTGCCGGCAGCAAAGCAATGGGGGTTTATACCGCTAAGAACGCTCCCACAAAGTTTTCACAGTATACTGCAGTTCCCGAAATACTGTGATTCAGTGCCCTTTTATTATTTTTTTTAATGTAAAATCCCTTTTTATACACATACGTTTATCCAAGGGTCCTCACTTTACTTCCTTCTAGCTTCTCTGCCAGCTCTCATCAGGGCTCAACAGTGGCTTTAATATCAAAATGAAAAAAAAAAAAAACAGGCAACAGTAGTTAGGGAAAGTGCAGCAAATATGACAGAGGGTAGGGACGCAACTTCACTGTAAATGCTCTCTTTTTTTTTTTTTTTTTTTTTTTTTTTAAACTTATCAAAACATTTCAGGTTTTACTGCAAGACCTGAATGAGAGCAGCAATACAGCCACGTGGCTACTGGAACACTTCATAGGCATTACCATGACAGACTTCATGCATATGACAAACTGAATGTGTTCAAGTCACATGAAAACGGAACCATAACCTTTACAGCAGGAGTGACAAATTACTTTTAGTCATCTTTTCATTATGCAGCTTTGAGCGCTCCACAAGGAAACAGATTTCTTAAGTATAAGTGACCTTGTATTACTGCACTAATGTACCAAGAATTCATAATTACAGAATGCCACTGTAACACAGAACTATTACAGTAGGTTTGACTGGGCCTCACGGGTTTTATGATGAGGTTTGCTGATAAGTACATGTGGTTAAGTATTTAGACATGAGACATTTTTGCAGCTGTCACAGATTCACTATAGAAATAGTATTAACTTCCTAAAGTTTTAGAAAATAAATATTTCAATGAATATAAAATCTGGTCAAGACACCTTGTAATGAGAAGTATAAAACAAAATGCAATTAAAATACACACATTTCAAGTGCAAAAGAAAATACCAATATTTCTAAGGAGCTCAAACCTTTCTTGAAACCCATTCTCGCACTGATAAAGCTAAAATATCAACCAATAAGTAGGCAATCCCACTCTTCAGCTGATAGGGAAGATTTATCTGTTGCATTAAGTACAAAGCTAAGAAGAATGCATAATGTTTTATTTTTAAACTTATTTACAAAAAGATATTGCACCAATCCATTATCATTTTTTCAGTTTAACATGTTAAGGAAAAGCCTACTATTTACAAAGTTAAAAACAGAAGCGCGAAAGCAGACTGAAAGACACCAGAAATAAAGTTTATTTAAATTCCTAGGTACAGTTTGTTACCTGACTATAGCCCACATCCAGTATGATCCGAAATAGTTTGTACCATATATGTCTGTAACTTCAGAAATCGTTGCATTTCTCCGTAGGCGCAAACCTTATTTCTTTTTATGCTATCAGAAGGCTTATGTAAAGTGTAAAGGCTAAGTTTAGCTTAACTTAACAGCCGTGTTTCTCCAGAAGAGTCATACAGTTTTAGGTAAATCGAAATAGCTACATAGTATTATATTTGTATTAAAAAGTAGTGCTAAGTCAGATGATGGTTTTCATTCCTCCTAAACAAGGCAAGGAAATGTTTGCTGATATTTCAGGACTGACCATTTTAAGTACTCTGCTAGCCAAGGTACTTTCCTTAGCACAGCATATGGTCCTGTCTTAGCCTATCTGCCAGTGGGACCATCATGATGCATTTCTGGCGAGTAGGTAAGTAGAACAATCATGACCCAGAGATGAAGCAATGCCTGGGAAGAGAAGAGAGAGAATTACTTATAAGCACTGATTATCATCACTTAAATCAGTAGTAAATGTGTCACTGTGACATAAAAAAGCTAGTCTTGCAGAAATATTATTTTATACATTACTTGTAAAAGAAATAATTCTTATTTATAAATGAAGTGCGGAGCCACATCTGAAAAAAATCCACTTGCAGAACAAAAATTTTTACCTAAACATGAAAAACGGAGCTGGCTTCCTACAGATTTGTTTGCTGCCCTATCTTTCCTTGCATCCCCTGGTAACTCCAGGCATGCTCTCTAATAACCAGTCTAGCCCACCGAGAGCAGATTACCTGATCTGTCTGCAGTGACTCATAAGCTGCTGCTCCCGCACCAACTTGCTAATACCAGGCAGTGTAAAACCGCCAAGTTGTGCTTGCTTTCTCCTTAACAGGGCTGCTAATTTAAGTCTCTATTCTCTACTGAGGCATTTCACGAACTTGGTAGGAACATTAATTCTCATTCCAATTTGGCTGAAACGATCTAATTGACATAGAAGTTGCTGGGGACATAACAAAGGAGATAATTAATAAAATGCAGAAGCTACATTTCCTTAAAAAACAGGTTAGTGATAATCACAGGCATTAGTGATTAGTCAATAGTCATAGCCATGCTTCCAGCTATCCATGGATAGCTTTTGCCAAATAAAAACACCTGCCATTGACCACCCAATATAGGATTCCTATGCAACCACCATTGATTTTCAATTTGAGTAGCAGCTTAGGCAGTGAAAATCTTCAGAATGTTGATACAATGTATCTTATTCACATAGTGAGAATTCTAATTCCCAAACAGGAAGAAACAGAAGATAAGAATATAAACAGCCCTGTTCCTTCCAGTACTTAACAAGGTGGAAAATGCAATTGCAGAGGAAAGTTGTCGTTTCCTTTATTTATACATGCCTGCCAGCTTTATATCCTGAAACAGTGTCAGCTATTCTGAGAGATTCTGTTTAGAAGAAATATTATGCCTTCTCAAGACACATGTTTTTCCTCATTGGAAAGGCTCAGCTAATGGAATATTCTCAAGCAGGGCAGACTGCACTTCAGTGCTGGTCACTTCAACCGACAGAGATATCTGCCCTCCCGTGGAAAAGGGAGGAATTTCAAGTCTGCCAAACTCAACCTAACTCGGATTAGCCACTTCAAACTATTTGAGAGCACCCAGCAAGAAGCTATTTGCTTGGTACTTTTTCAGCCATTAGAAACATGTGACTATTTAGTCTACTTTAAAACACACACTAAGTTGATAATTACATAGCCCTTTACTTTTAAATATAAAATGCCTTTCAATTCATCATGTATCATACAAAACTGCTGTAAAAATCTCAAATTATCTTCTCACTTATAAAGAAAGCTTACTCACCATATAAATGATTACAAAGACTCTTGCTATGGGATACCGCCTTAGGAAGATTCCCAGACGAATGCTATGCAAGTATAAAAGAAAAACAAAATGCTTAAGTTCACATGAGGCAATAATGCCTGTTCCTTTCGTTCTAGTTATCATAAACTTCGGAACACCACCTAATTTTACAGACATGGCTTTCTATACTTCTGAACTGAATTTTACTTCTTGTAGTCAAGGCATTCAATAGGAAAATGCATAATTCAGACCATATTTGCAGAATACTTTTCTGCTAATATGCTAGAGTCAGACTTCATGAAAAAGAACCAAAACACTTAGAACTGTATGGGCTTTTTAAAACAAAAATTTTGCCGAATTCTGTGACTCCAGAAACTGTCATGAAAACCAATTTTCAAAGATATTTAAGCAATAAAAACTTTGGCTTCCCTTGAAAAAAATGCAACAGATCACTGCTGGCTTTTCAATTCATTAAAGATATGGGTTTTCCAATTCTATTGTTGCAGCACTACAAAGATTACTTTGTAAATAGATTATGATATTGCAAACTGAAGCTTAGCATAGTATAGTATAGTAGATCTCTAGTCATAGAGATGCTTCCTTCACAACGGACAAAGTACCATAGAAACACAAAGGATTATTTTTAAAGATATCCTACTTTCCAAAGACGAAGAAATATTATTTAATTTTGTTTCCCCTTGCTACTTGACCAAACCTTTGGAGAAAAAATGTTCATTAGGAGTATCGATAGTGAAGATAGATGCTGAGAGAAGAGATCAAAACAAGTCTTTGGTAGATCCAGATTTACTTTTGTTTACTAATTTCTAGATCAGATTATCTTTTCTGGAAAGTAAACAGTTGCTCTTGGTCAGAACCCAACATCTTGTAGGCATCCAACAGGATACCTGAACAAGAACAGAAGAATACACTCCAAGCATATACGATACTGCCCCAGAAATACTCTTTGTATTGTCTGTCGCAGAAACAGTCAAAATAGTTCTGTCATAAGAGAGCAAAATTTATTTAATATATTGATGTATACAATATACTGGTTCATTGCTTTGTTTTATTTTGTTTTTTCCCCCTTTGACACAAGCAATTCAAAAGAGAAGCTCGACCATCTAGAAAAGAAGTCCAGTGATAAAGAAGCACATTTCATTTAGGCACTCTTACCTAAACTGATCTATACTACTGGCAGCTTTGCGAAATCTTCCCTACAATTCTGCTATATTATCCATGTCATTAAAAAGGACAGGAACATTTCGCATACGAGCGCCTATTTAAAAAAAAAATCTCTTTAGTGTAAAATCAGTTGTTATCCAAGTAAAATAAATTGATACTGTACAACCTGAAGGTATACAAAAGTAATATAAAATTTCCAATTCATCCCACTTGTAAATCTTGCTGAGGATAAGAAAATACAATGAAGGATTAGATTACTAATAAAAATAAAACCAAGTCCAACGTATCCTGAATTGACTAAATTTAAATTTGTTTAAATTTACTAGAGGGACATCTTGATATTCAAAACCATTAAGTAGAAAACATAGTAGTTTTAGCTTTTTTGTCAATTCTTAAGTGACTAAAATAGTCACTTAATACTTTTACCATTTGCTTACATTTGTCATCAGCAAAACATCTGATATTTCTGATACAGATTGGTATTTCTAAGTCTTTTAACTTTATTTTTTAAATAGATAACATCAGAAAATATTTATATTTTAATATGTATCCTTGTGCAAGTAAACTCAAATTTACTGAATTTAGCTAAAAAATTAGACTCAAACTAATTTAAAATTTGCTAGTTCTCCTTCATAAGGAAGGAAAGAGCAGTCTGGACTGTTACTTTTTAAAACAAAGCACAATTATGTGCTTTGTATAAAGCACATGTTGATGTATAAAGGCAGTTACCACATACATGCAATTACAAAATTTGACTGCAAAAAGTGACCTTGTAAAGACACATCAACTGCTGAGGTTTTCCCAGTAACACAAGATTAACTCTGCACAGCATAGATGAATCAACCTCTCCTCTGCAGAACCACGTAATTTCAGGGCTTCTTTTATCCTTACAAACTCAAAGCATTAGGAAAACTAGAAGCTTTAACTGCATAAAAGACTGTTCTAAATATTTCCATATTTACCTTCAGAACCATCAACTCCTGCCATATTAATAGAAGGTCCATTGGTACTCGTGCCCTGGATTGCCTTAAGCTGTTGTTCAAGTCGTTCCAGCTGATAAACAAGAGAGTTTTTCTCCGTGCTCAGGCTCTCTAACATGGTCTGCTTCTGAATAAGTGTTTCTGTCAGCTGATGAAGCCGATTCTCTAATTCTGTCTGACTGCTACTACTCAGAGCTTTGTTTGTGAGCTTAAAAGAAAAAAATAAAACATTTTTAAAATCTGACCAATATGACAATATTACAAAACTGGTACATTCAAAAAAAACCCTTTAAATAAATAAATAAATAGGTTAACATTTCAGAACTTTCATGGGGTAACATGACCAAAATCATTACCAATAAGCACACTAAAGAAGAAAGTATCAAGAGTGACTAAACCAAGATTTTATATCAAACAAAAAATTAAGTACCAAGAAAAAATGACTGGGATAACCAATTGAAGCTGCAGGAAGGAAAGGAAATGCATGGATCACATTATCCAATTTACAGAAAACATCTAGAGCAAATAGGAATCTCCACGTCAGTCCATGTGCAGCAACTCATCTATTTGATACAATGCAAGACCAGAGCCACCTATAGCATCATATAACAAAATAACACAGCTCTAATAATGGGACAATAAAATCACCAGCAGTAAGACAATGCAAATATATGGATGCACCAGACCAGGGCTAGAGGGAAGTAGTCCTGATGCCAGCACTGCCAGGAAAAAAGCTGCTCTCCAATATGTTTGGAAATTATGCACTGCAACACAAACAGTTCCCAAATTCCCCAGCACCATATCTGCAGAGCTGATCATAGCTGGCTCTTGACCATCAATTTCTTCAAATGCAGCCTATTTTTTATTATGCTGTCTTAGATAATTTACCTAAAATGAAATTAATGCCTTCTTGCTGGCAAAAGAGTCTGTGGGGCTGCCAGTATCAGAAGGTTCCAAACCAGATTTGACTGATTCAACGAAAATAGGTCATAAACCTATCAGGCAGCCTTATATTCTCTATTGTCCCTACACAGAACTGTGGATGCTGAGGGAGTACCAGAGGAAGGGAGTGAAATGGCCTGGCTCACAGGCTGGCTGAGGCAGCACACAGGGTCAGATGGATCACCAGTCTGAGTCAGTAAGATGTCTAATGTTCTTCTATCTAATTAAAAGGATCTGCAGAGAAAGGATCTCTGCAGAAATAGTTATGTCCCATTAAAACACTAAAGAATAACTGCAACAGAGCACCTGCCCACTAAGCCTAGCTTGGGTACAGGTTGCCTTTGTCAAAGACAAAAGCAGAGGCAACTATAAAAACAAGTCTCTGTTTACCCATTTACTGTTCCCTTCCTGCATTCTTCTCAGCTCAAAACTGCACTCTGCATTGAAAGTAAGTACACTGTAGCCCATTAGTAGATTCATGATGTTTTTCTTACTTTTAAAACATATTAATAGCTTTTATACTGAATCATAGAAGTGTTCATATGTACGGTTTATTTTCTATTCAAACACAGTACCTGATTCCTGAGCTTCTGAATTTCTTCCTCTCTGTCTTTTATTCTGCTTTGCAAAGTACTTTTTGTTCGATACAATTCTTCCTCGGTATAATGGAGTTCCTAGGAAATTGATCACAATCACAAATTTTAGCTCTGTATGTATTTTGAGTGACATTCGGCTATCTAGTGTTGCATGCTAAAGCAGGAGTAGACAATATACCACAATCAACTATAAACTGAAATTTACTTTCAGATAGAAGCGTCTGATCTTTAGATGCTACAAGGGAGTGAAGTAAGAAAACTGAATACAAAGGCAGAACCTCCAAAACTACTCGATTCTTGTGAAGAGGGACCTAATGCAAACATAAATCCCAACTGTGCAGACACAATTTCATTGGAATCACGATTCATCTTCTTTATACTCTCACTCTTTATTATACTGCTATCTTAAAAAGATGTAAATAACAGAACATACACAATCAGACAATACTTTTGTGGAGTCAGTATCCCTAAAATAACCCCATTAATACAAGATAATCTTATTGAGCTTTTGAAAAACTTGGTGCAGCTATCTTTAATTCTGTGTAATGTGTATTACAAGGATTTTCCTTTACAGTTTAGGGTTAACAGGATAAGAGGGTGGAAGCGAAAGGAATATTAGCATTAGGCCACTGACTAAACAGCAAATCTAACCATATGTCTTGCTATTTTCATGACTTAGCAGTTATTTTGGCTCCTATTTAATGGTCTACCATGATTATTTTCAAATCATTGTTACTATTTCAGCCATCAGGTGTCACAGCAGCCAGATGAATCATATATATAAGCTATCATACATACTTTAAAAGTATATGTACATGTGAATAATTAAAAGGAAAATTTCATTTTCATATAACCGATAATACCTACCTCTCCCTGCTTTTTTTTTTTTTGTAGCTTCACCTCACTTTTATACATAGCGAGGGCTCCAAATACACTCCTCAAAAGCACAGAGGTAACAAGATACAGCCTACCATCTGCTTTGATATAATAAACAATAGCTCTCCATCAAGAGCAGACTTTGACTTCTGCCTTTTAATTAGTTCAAGCTGCTAGCATCTCATTAAAATGTAATTTCTGAAAGGACAGATAATCCTGTAAGATAAGTTGTTCCCAGCAGGTACAGTCCACTCTTCTGCTTTCTTCATTATTAATTCTCTTTTACAGGAGCTTCTTTCTTAAGAGGAAATTCTCATTAAGGTGCAAGGCACTGGTCTGATTACTAGTGAAGAATTGGTTTGTTTATACTAAAAATGAGAGCGTGCCCTTTTCCTCTTTTTAGCACATTGTTGAAATCAAAAGGGAGTTTGCTTAAAAAGATAAATACAACACAATGAAATTTAGTAATATCATTTTATTATCAATTTGTCTTACAGAACAATTTGGGAAGGGAGATTTATGAGGGGATTGAAAAAATATCTCTATATTGTTATATTGTTAATATCATATTTGAAATCTAAATCCTATTTAATTATTATTGGACAGAGGAAGATCCATAGTAAGTATTTTTGGTATTTAACTTCCTTGATATAAGGAAGTTACAAATCTTACTGTAGATATATTGTTTGACTAGTGCTGTTGAATAAGTTTTAAGATCATGCTCAATCCCAAGTATTCCTGAGGGTGTTTTTTTATTTATTTATTTTTTTAATAATAAAATTCCCTTCACCGGGAATATTCAGTAGGCCTTTTCCATTGCTTACTAGCAGTTGACCTAACGATGTTCAGTTCAGATTAATGTTTCCGTGAATTCTTTTGAATACTGTGGAAAAAATAAGTCTAACACTGTACAAAATACTTTTGTTATGCCAAACACATTACTGATGACACCAAATGGGACCTAATAAAAACTAATGAGCCCTCGGGAATTGCTTACTTGTTTTTGCCGTTCTAGTTCAGCCTCTGCCTCCTGCTTGGCCATTTTATGTGCTGCTATTTGCTCCTGCAGATCTTGAAGTTGTTCTCTTGCTGACTCAGCCTCACTTACCTGCTGAGTCTCCATATCCTGAAACAGACAGAAATGTTACCACTTCACTAACAAAAAATAGTGCAGTCTATAATAGACAATAGCCAAAAGTTACATCTGCAGTACTGTTTCCAATGTAAAGTCAAGATAAAAATTGACCAAACGTCTGTAACTTGCATATAATATTTTATTAGTATAGAGTAATAGGCAATTTTAAACTGCATTTTGTAAACATAGAAAAGCCTCTAACTGATCATCTTTTCCGTCTTATTGTACACAGGCTAAAACTGTGTAGAAAGCAGAGCTTGCACGTGAATGCTGGGCTGAGCCAATTATGGGAGCAGATGACTTGGAGACTGCAATTGCTTCAAGGATTAGGAGGGGGCCTTTGCAGAAAAGTATAAGCTATACAGAAAGCACCAGCCTTGTTTGGAAAGGAAACTTCGCTCAAAAGGAGCAAACAGTAACCAGGCAAAAGAGAAGCAGTGCATGTACTATTTCTCCCACCATCCCAGGCCCAGTTGATGTAGTAGTGAGGAACAAGGAAGAAAATGGGCATCTAAGAAGCGCTTGTCCCACCCTGAGCAAAAAGCCTGTTTCAATAATCCCACCCTCAGCAAAAAGTCTGTTTCAATAGTACATCAAATAAGTGTTAGAAGCGACACCCCTAGAACACAAAGTAGCCCTTTATGCATGCTTAAATATATCTATGCATAATCATACCTACCTGCAACTCTGTTCTGAGCTGCTGTATTTGTCCCATTAACTTTTGTATTTCTTCTTTCTGAGTATCTCGCTCATGTTTCAGTTCTTCTATTTCCACTGTGCTTGCGGTATGGTTATCCAGACCTTCAATTCCCGATCCTTCTTTCAGGCTGTTGATAAGCTTTTCTTTAGACTAAATAAAAAATAAGTCAATATATTTTTATGGCAGTATTTAGTAAGTGCTCAACTCGAATCTGTGAACAGAATTTTGCTCTGAAGTCCAAAGACAATATGCTACCGACACATAGCAAACTACTGCTTTACCTCTTTTTATCCAAATAAGGAGTATACAGAATTGAAGATCAAAATGCTTCCTACTGATTAATTTATTTTACTTCCTACACGTTACACAATGTATTACTGATCTCATTAAAAAGTTAAAATTACAAAAATTATATGAAAAATAGTGTTCGAAAGCTAAACATGTACAAATTAAACAATTTACAGTAATACATACTTGGAGTATGCGAGTAGCTTTCTGTTTATAGTCTGTCAGTTCTTGCTTTGCAGATTCTAGCTGGGTTTTAGTTATTTTGACTTGCTGTTGAAGTTCATCAGCTCGCCTCTTTTCTTCTAAGTATTTTCTTTCTGCCACAGTAATCCCCTCTGCCAAATTCTGGCGTTCAGCTTCCATTTTGCTTAGACGGGCTGCAAACTCATTCTAGCAGAAAAACAAACAAACAAAAAAACCCCACTTGTGCTTAAACACATTTGCAACTTTAATCTATAATGGAAAAAAATTAGAACCAAATATTCAAGAAACAACACTTCATGTCTGCCACCGCCACCTCAAAAATACATTAGTGCTTTTTGTGAGGAATGCAGTCCTGTGGTTATCTGCTAAATAGGTGAAATAACAGGTAAATAAGTAAAAATGTCTTTCTTTCCCTCATCATATATTTAAATATGGTAAACAAAAAGCCACTCTTCCTTCGGAAGCTTTAGAACGCCATATTTAAACATAATTAGAAAGAAAAAGATGCCAACAACAATTTTCCAAGACAGAATTAAACATAATTAAGGCCAGGCCAACTGTGGAATGCAAACGGGTTTCCAGCAATACCATAAATTCCCACATTTACCATAACCATGATCACCCTGCTTAGCATTATTAAGATTACATATTAGTATGTGGGGAGGAAAACCACTTGTCATGGAAAACTAAATTGATGACTGACCTAGCTTTTTAAAAATAATTTTAATCATAAAAACAGTTAAAAAGCAATGACATTTCCAGTGTTACATCTCAAAAAAAAAAAAACTTTTAATAACAAAGCTTGCAAAAAGATATAATTAAAATGTAGTTTTGTAAATATATCTAGCACAGCAGAAGACACATCATACAAAACCCTAAATAACCTGAGCAAAAACTAAAGTCAAGGGGAAGAGAAAGCAATTAGAAACATAGACCTCATCTCAAAAGCAGATTAGGAAAGTCTGCTTTAGACTTCATGTCTAACCTGCATCTGTTTGTAACTCTCTTGCTCTCGCTTCAGTGCGGAGTCTGCATCACGCAGCCTCTCTTGAAGAGTTTGAAGGGCTTGATTTTGCAAACTGCTCCCTTCACTGTGGTCTTGTATTATCCTGAAAAAGTAACACAGATGTTAATAGAAAGGAATAAACCTAGTGCGCTTTTTCAGGTATAAGCACGACTGCCTGCTTTTGAGACTGGCCTTGAAAACTTCCTCAACTAATTGAGTATTGCTGCCTACAGACAGGGTGCCTGGAGCTAGTGACTCAAGCAGTCCCTCCCTGTCCTGTTCTCTCATATCCAACTGCAGACACATATTTCAACCCTGAGATTAATGCAAAAGAGTCTTTACATTTTTGGACACATGAAAATATTTTTCAAGGCAGAAATATTTATCCTAAAGCCTTCAGTTTCAGGCCTTCAGTTTAAAGAAATACTTTATACAAAGTGCATTTCAATAATCAGGTGACAACTGCCCTTATTTAATAGGCATTGCCCTGTTCCTACTGTCAGCTATGCTGTAATAGGTTCAGAGCAAACTTTAATGATATTTTAGATCATGCTCAAAAATTTTTTAAAAAAAAAAAACACTTTATTCATTTTTCTTCTTAGAGTCTATGCTTTCTATCCTGAGATTGCAAACTATATCTCTTTGGAATGACTTAGGAAATACCGTGATTTTTCACTCTGTAATGCTTCCAAAGCTTCTGTCCGAGTACTTAAAAGTTGATCAGCTTCTTGCAAGCGCACTTTCAGCACAGCGAGCTGGGAATCCTTGGCACCAACAGCTTCCGTGAGATCATCAACTCGAGCCTGAAGTTCTCTCACCATCCTATCACTCTTTGAATGGTCAACACTCCACTTCTCAACTCTCTCCCGGGATTTGTTTAATTCTACAAAGTAAAAAGGTTTCTTAGAAGGTTTTAAAAGTAGATATTACAAGATGCTCTAAGTGGTATATATCATAATTCACACAGAAAAATTAAATATAACCAAACTGATATCTCCTAAAGTCTTAATATTACTTCAAGAAGGAACAAATGCCAGAAACTAGCTGTCAGAACACAGTCCAGAGGACTTTGCATGTGATCTCAAAACAGACGTTTTCATTGTATCTTAAATGACAAGTGTTACTTGCCCTATCCCTCCTCACAACCTACTGTTGAACAGTCCTGCAAGAGCAAATATTTGGAGAGCTCTGCATAAAGCATCTACTGTATATCAATGTGACAATAAGCTGAAAATAAACCTGAAAAAATAAGTCAGTAGAAAAATACAACAGTGTTAAATCAACATCTGAATACCACGTAAGGCTTTTTTCTTTAAACTAAGATTATACATTAGCCTTCCATGAAAATTAACGTTCTTTGGTCACACAGATACTTAAAAAAATAAATAAAGAATGCAGTCACCTTGCTGCAGATCCAACATCAGCAGTTTGACAAATTTAAATAATCATTTAAAGGTTTTCATACATTCCTTTTTTAAAAAAATAAAAAAAAAAAAGTTTGCTATTTCATTTGGCTTTGAGAAAACTAGTGGAATCAAACAAATAATAAATCTAGTATTTTTGCTATCAGTTTTCTAGGTGTCCGAGATCACCACCTACAGCTTGGAAAAGAGCCAAGTTTCAGTTACTTCAAGGAATTAACTCATTTAAAAATTATTATTTTTCAGTGTCCTTTAAAAAGCATGAGAAATATTTTAAAACTGTTAACCTTTGCTACTTTGTTTTATTAAGAACTAAAATTTGGAACAAATTAGACTGCATATGCTATTAGACAGATTTTATTCTAAATAAAAAAATGAAAAAAAGGCACAGAAGTAACATTATTTTCTATTTCACTAGCATTTTAGTAACATTTTTAAGTTTAACTTCCAAACTGTAGTACCTTCTTGTGTTTCTTTGGATCTCTGAATTAAGGAAGCCATTTCTTGATTTAAAGATTGAACTTCATTCCGCAGCAGTTGATTCTCCAGTCGAAGATTGGAGAGCTCATGAGATCTGACACCATCATTGGCTGAATGGCTAGGATTAGTTACTGCACTTGGTGATGAGTCTTTCACACCATCCACCACTTGCACTCCCAATCCAGAATCCGAACTGTCTGGCGTTTCTGTACAGAAAGATGCAAGTTAGAACTAATATCTGCTAGTCTTTAGGCTTAATATAAACAGCACATCCACATCCTGCAACAGTGATTAAATTCATTTAATGTTCTAAGAGTCAAAATGAAAACAGCTTATAGGGAAATGCAACACGGAATTGCCTCTCAGAGTAAAAATACATACAGTACATATACATCATGCAGCACCTTTGTTAATCCAGCAAGACAGCCATGGAAGTTATAAGAAATCTCTTATTAATGTTAAATTTAGGATTCTACTACTTTTCATGACTAGGGTGCCTAGAGAAGGTGACAGAGTAACAGAATATATTCAAAATAGATAGCCACTAACACAGTTTCCAGTACAAATTAATTCAATTTTTCCATTACAATTTAGATTTCAAGGACAAACTGCATCTGTCAGGCAACTATTCCTTGTCATTTCAACATCAACCTGCAAAATCAGCTACACAGCAGTATGTTTTAATTATTTTTATGTTAAAAAGTCTTTTAAAAGGCACCTCAAAACATCCTCTTACTGATCATTCTGCACCAAACAAAGATTCTCTAGGAAGAAAAAAAAAAACAAAAAACAAAAAGCACTTTTACTATTAAAAAAGACTAGTGACTTGAAGCAGGAAGCTACAGAATGATTTTTACTTTCTCGAATGGTAAAAACGAGGTACAGATATTCTGTTAAAACTATTCAAAGCAAGAGAAACTGTAGTTCTCTGGATTATGGAAATGAAAAAACAGAGTCTCTTTTCTGGCTTAGAACCTCAGTAAGAGCAGAGGGATCTTGTGGCAGTGCTCTGCACAAGAGCTCCCTGCAGGCTGGGAACAGACTCTGCCCTTCCTACCACACAGACTGTACTGGACTGCTGCCCCAGCAGTCCTGGTTCCAAAGCACAGCCAGTTGGGGGAAGGCCCTGCACCAGTGTCAATATAAAATGGCACAGTGTACAATGAGTGAATGAGCAACTGATCCAGAAGCACCACTCCCAAATTCAGCATATCCCAGCAACATAATTACTAAAAACCCACAGGAACAGGCTGAAATAATTCCGAAGCAGGATCACAGTTTGGCTGTCACCATGTTATTTACTTTACCTTGTGATTACTAATCCACATGCCTCATCTTCCTTGTTACCATTACAACAGTTCACAAAACCCAGTGCCAGGAAGCTGGGACAGGCTGCTAGTTTGGAACAACAGGATTTCAACAAGGCAACAGCAATGGCAGCAAGATTTGATACTTTTTTTTTTCCTCCAAATTCATCATCCTATTTAAGTAGTTTTAGGAAGTGCTATTCCTTTCCTTTTAATTCATTTAAACAATTTCCAAATCATTGGGACAAGTTATCTGCATCTGTCCAAAAAACTCAAGAGACTAGCAAAGCTTACAAACAAAAAATTAGCCATGTATAACAAGGTTATACTCACGGCAATGTACAATTTCGCCAACTGCTTTTATCTATAGCTAAATGATCATAAGCTATTTCAATAGCAGTTATACAAGACATTTAGAAAACAGGTATATATTTGATTTTTGAAACTCAAGCCCTTAAAGTTTGTTAAATCTGTGTGCTTCCTTATTTATAAGCTCCAAGATGCGAACTCTCAAAAGCTCAAAAATCCTGAAGAGCAAATTCCATATACCAAACTGAACAAACCAGTCACACTCCTTAGGCATCAATGAAGGTAGGGTATGCACATAGCCAGGATTAACATATTTGGAAAAAGTTACAGACCTGGCAACACCAAAATATTCACATATTTAGAAATAACCCCTTAATACATTTAAAGCTTTTCACTGTAGTTCATACAGTAAATCTAAAACTAGCACTTGCAATGCTTTACATGTTCAAGGTACTGAACAAATATTAAAGCATTCTAACTACATTATTAGCAAACAATATCAACACTCGTTTCCAACTTCCTCTACAAAGTGGCAGATCAACTTCAAGAATAAAGGATAGACAGGAGAGCCAAAATCGGAACACATAAGTTCCTAACTTCTCAGCCACATTGTCCTCAATTCAAACTCGAAAAGAGTATCAGCTTTTGACCAATGGTTCTCATGTGGTCTGTGAGCTCTCGGGAGTTTGCTTTTAGGCTGAAGTAGTGAATTATTTTGGATGAATCTGAGGGCCTCATTTATCCAGCTCTCTCATATGTGTAGCTCTACGTCAGCATATCCATATCCAAGCTCCCACTTTGCAGGACAAGCTTTACAGTTCCCCCTCTCTCAAGCGGAAAAAAGGAAATATATTATCTCCCCTAGTGCATGGGCAAGCACCATCTGCCAGTCAATGCAGGTCACTTGCTGCCCTACGTGGAAACACTGAGTTCTCCTGACTGACAGGACAAATGCAGCAGCACCAGAACACACGTTTGTAAGCAAGGATGCATGGGGTGCCGATAAATAGAGGTCACAGTTCAGGGAAGGCAGAGCAAGCAGTGATAATTGGAGCTCTAAGAACACAAAGGATTCACATATTAAAGCTATTCAGCTTGCAAGTTGGCAAGATACCTGCCGCAAAATACTAAGCCACCCTGTTGCCCTCCAAACAGTTGACATTATTGTCACTACATATTTCATTAGGTTGCAGTAAAACCATTACCCTCCCCAGCCAACCTTGGATTTTAAGTATCTCTAGAGCCAATATTATTTATCTACCATTGTCTTGACTCCTGATGGAATTATCTTCAGTAGCTTTTGCACTCTGTGTACTAGCAGACACCGAACTAATACTTGAAGTCCGAGAGTGATTTTGAAGAACAGCTGCTTTGCTCTTCTCTTTCTTAGAGTCTATCTTTCCACCAGGCTCTTTTTCAGAGCTGTTGAGAAAATCAAACAGCAACTCATCATCAGGTTCAGACTTTTTTCTTCTCACAAACTGTGAGGAAGGTCTGGGTGTGGAAACACCTTCAACTGCAGAAGCAGCCTCCAAAGATGTCCTGCGTGCTGGTTTAACATTTGCGGTTCCTGCTAGGATTGTAGCTTTTTGATGTTTAATATTGTCAGCCGCTGAGGAGATGTAGGCTGCTTTGGATGAAGACTGGTATTTCATTTCTCCAGCATGCTTGTGCAACTCAGAGTATTCACTGGCAGAGTCTGTGTTCTTATTATCATACACTGCAGTGCTTGATGTGTCTTTTTTGTTCAGGGCTGACGCAGCTCCTTGATCGACTCTGTTGAGGAGATCCTCTGCCTTTCCAGCAAGATCCACGAGCCAAGACATGGTGGATGGCTGTTCATAAGCTCTATAGAATTAAAGCTCCAGACACGTGTGCTGCAAAAGACAGAGAACACTCAGAAATCTGCTGCTGGGAAGGTGGGTGCTGCCTGCAGAATTGCTGTGCTAACCTGTTACAGCTGTGAGGACATTAAAGTTTTGTTCTACCCATTTCACGCTGCTGTGCTTAGCATAAGGAATGGAATCAAACTAAATTGAATCACCTTCTTAAGAAAACACACAAAAGGGAGGTTTACCTATCAGGCCATCGTATCCTTTCCCAGCACCAGAAGCTAAAACTGGGCGTCCCGCCTGCTCACCAGTCTGCTGCGACCATGAAAAACCCGGCCCATTGGAACCTGACAAAAGCAAAGGCAGAAGAAAGCCGACAGGCGCTTAGTACGGGAGCAGACACAGAAATGAAAGGAAAAAAAGAGAGAATTTGTCCTGCCCGTCCCAGCCTGAAAACCCAGCCGGGGCTTTCTCCCACACAACCCCGCGGCCGCTCCCCCCACCTCACGCGCCGCCGCGGCAGCCTCACCTGCCCTGGGTCCGGGGTCTCACTTGCCCGAGGCGCGGCAGCCTCCCCTGTCCCGGTGCCGGGACACCGCTCACACGGCCCCGGCCCGGGCGGCCC